GATTGGGTTCAAGCAATGCAAGACGAGTTGAACGAATTTGAAAGAAACAAAGTCTGGCGCCTAATTCCAACTCCTCCAGATGCTTCGGTTGTTGGTCTCAAATGGGTCTTTAGGAACAAAATGGACAAGGAAGGTAATGTTATACGGAACAAGGCTCGTCTGGTGGTCAAGGGATATTGTCAAGAGGAAGGGATAGACTACGAAGAGACTTTCGCTCCAGTAGCTCGGCTAGAATCTGTTAGAATATTCCTAGCTTATGCTGCTCACAAGAACTTTGAAGTTTTCCAAATGGACGTCAAGTGTGCATTTCTCAATGGAGAACTTGAAGAGACGGTGTACGTAGAGCAACCTCCTGGATTCGTGAACGAAAAGCATCCAAATCATTGCTATATTCTGGATAAAGCTGTGTACGGCCTTAAACAAGCTCCGAGAGCCTGGTATGAAACGCTTACAAAATTTTTAAAGATGTCTAAATTCAAACAAGGTTCGGTTGACCCAACCTTCTTTCGCAAAAAGGAAGGTAACCACCTTATGATAGTTCAAATTTATGTCGATGATATCATCTTTGGCTCCACAAATCCAAGCTTAACGGCTGAATTCAGAAAGCTGATGGAGACTAAGTTTGAAATGAGCTCAATGGGTCCTATTAACTTTTTCCTTGGTTTAAACATAAGACAGGGACCCGAAGGCATCTTTATTAATCAGGAAGCTTACACAAAGACTCTCCTAGCAAAGTTCGGTATGATGGGAGACTCAAAAGTCAAAGTCCCAATGGCATTCGGCACTAAGCTTACCCCATCTCTAGACAAACCAGCTGTCGATATCACGCTCTATCGTCAAATGATTGGATCATTAATGTATCTTACTGCTAGCAGACCTGATATCATGTTTTCTGTGTGTTATTGTGCTCGATTTCAGGCAAACCCCCGTGAACCTCACATGCTTGCAGTGAAGAACATCCTCCGATATCTCAAGCGAACCACCTCCTTAGGTCTTTGGTATCCATCCAACTCAGGCTTCTTCGTTCAAGCCTATTCTGATGCTGACCTTGGAGGATGTGGACTCGACCGAAAAAGCACGACCGGTGGATGTCAATTTCTTGACGGGAAGTTAGTTAGCTGGCAATCCAAGAAACAGACATGCGTGTCGCTATCTACAGCCGAAGCAGAATACATTGCAGCCGCATCATGCACATCACAAGTGATTTGGATCCAAAGTCAACTTCGAGACTATGGACTCAATATGAAGAAGATCCCACTATATTGTGACTCCGAAAGTGCAATTAGGATTTGTCATAACCCAGTGCAACACTCCAAAACCAAACACATAGCACTAAGGTATCACTTCATCAAAGATCATGTGGAAGATGGAAATGTCGAAGTTCACTTCGTAAGAACCACTGATCAGCTGGCTGACATCTTTACAAAAGCTCTTCCTGAAGCATCATTCAATCAGATATTGCAAGGCTTAGGCATGATGGTTGCAGAATCGGTCCCAAATCCTCATGTCTCTATTTAAAAAAAAAAAAAAAAAAAAAAAAAAAAAAAAAAGGACCGAACCTAACAGACCGCTCGGTCACTCTCTGTTCTGGTCAAATTCAAGAACCGAACCTAACAGACCGCTCGGTTACTCTCTGTTCTGGTCAAATTCAAGAAGCGAACCTAACAGACCGCTCGGTTGCTCTCTGTTCTAGTAACATAACGGAACCAAATCAACCAGATCGCTCGGTCTCTCTCTGTCTCTACAAGATAGGCACTCATTCAATCAAACCGCTCGGTTCTTCCTAATCTCTACTTCTTTTCCTTGTCTAAATTTTGTCTTTCTGTTTTTTTTCTTTTTCAGAAACTTCAAATTTAACAAAAATATTTTATCTTTCTGTTTTTATTTCTTTTTCAGAAAATTAAAAATTTAACAAAAATATTTTATCTTTCTGTTTTTATTTCTTTTTCAGAAAATTAAAAATTAACAAAAATATTTTGTCTTTCAGTATTTATTTATCTCTAAGTAAATTTCAAAATTTCAAAAATATTTTATATGTACTTCTTGCTCAAGTGAATACAAGTATGGCCTTATGGAACGTTCATCCAGGTATGTTTTTCTCTTATAAGACTAGTTAGACGTCCCTAGAAGCATGCTGCTGTATGTTGTCCCAAGCCTCTATGACCTCGAGCATGCCTTAATGATTCGATCAATACCTATCGTTTCTTCCGAATCAGGCTATTCTCTCATATTCGGTCTAGAGCTACCTTCTTTTACTCATCTGAAACATGAGTTGCTCTGCTTTGTCCCATTTATGTAGCAGAAGGTACTTTCGGTCTCTTAACCATCTCTTCAACTTCTTCACTTACATTCGCTCCCCAAAGTAACCCTTGATGCTCTCAGTCTTTACCACTGAGGCTTATGGTTGCACAACATCTGAGTTCATGATCTTAGATTCGATTACCACGTTCTGAGTGAAACCCAAAATCCAACACCTAAATAGAATTGACGGTGAGTTATTAACTCAAGCTTTTACTTGGAAATCTTCTTTATGAGTGATCTTTTATGAAACTGTCTCGTCCTAAGACATTTCTTCCCAAAGAGATCCAGTTTAATTTATTTTGAGATTTCTGTCTATATCATTCCCATCACAGAATACTTCCCACCTACCTGTTCAACAGATCACATCGGTCTCACAGGTAACTTTACCAACACTTAAGTTTTATGTCAAGACTTAATGTTTGGATTGAGTTCAGCCACCTCTTAGCCATCATCAGAAGACGCCTTTCATTGTTTCTCTAAAAACAACTGATCGTATTTCTCGGGAAACCACACAAACACTTCAGGTCTCTCTTGACTCTGAAGGAAGCGATTCTTGCCCGGAATCTTCTGCCTTCTGTCTTTTATTTAGACAACACGCACTACCAAACACATTAGATTTATTTCCTTGTCTTTCACACTCTTATGCACGGAATTGTTTTCCCACATTCTAATTACTGTTTGGCACATGGTTCTAAGTCTCAACTGTAACCAAACAAGGGCACAAGGGATTTCAAACGGTACGAAAAAGATTTGGGCGCGTGCAAAGGATTCGTTTCAGCCCCACGTGTGCTGACGTCTTCATTGAATACACCATAACTTCTAATCGCGCTTTTTCAGGCGACGTTTTGGGTTCCTAATCATCACGATTTTCTCTCTCCTGAGAACGGTATAAATAAGACGTGATCGTGTTCTTTGGCAGTTACCTCTCAAAGCATTATCTCTCTGAAAAAGTTGCCCCTGTTAATCTTCTTCCAAAAACTCAACAATGGCGACTTCTTCTTCCACTCACGATCAGTCTGCTTCTTCTTCTTTTCTTGCAATCAAACCAAATCAGAACATGATCATAGAGTTGTCTCCATACGTCTATGACTCATATATGCTCTACGTGGTGGAATGCCTCACATATTCCCCATTGGTATTGGCATTAACGCAGGTGGAGGCAGTTCCTATGACCCTGCTATCTCAAGTCTACTCCACAGCAAGCTATGACAAACACAAAGACCGTATCTACTTCTCTATTCACGACAAGAAGACTTCCGTTTCCAAAGCACGGTTTTGCTCTCTTCTAGGGCTTGACCGTAGATGCTTCTGTTATTTCACCAGACTTCATCACAACCGCCCAAATCTTTAAGATGATGTACGAGATGGGGTATACAGATGTTCTAACATCTGTTGGCAAAGTCAAGAAATCATGTCTTCCATCTCAGTGGAATGGATTGCTTACCCTTTTAATTAAGGGTTTAGCGGAGCGATGTGGTGGTTCCGACACCACTAGCAAAGGATTTCTCACAATGCTGTATGGGCTTTACAACGGGATCAATCTGGACTATGGGTCGATTCTCTGGTCTCAAGTGGTTCAGAGTCTCAACTCTACCGCAAGGCACTCAGAAATTTCATGCGCCAGGTTTTGGACCCTCATCACCAGGAGAGCCATTGATTCTCTTGACATCCCTGTCATGAAGGATGTTCTTATGGCTTCAATTGCCACATACCACACCAAGAAAATCATTCTCTCAGATCCAAGTAAGTTCCTCCACTATGGACTAATCCCTGAGTCCATGTACAGATGTGTCACGCCCCACAGCAAGATTATGGCGGACTACAGCTCCAGAACCCCCCTGCCTCCTAGGGTTCTTTCCGAGGAACAACGTGCAGCTCTTGAGGCTCTGGATCAGCCTGCTAACCGGGAAAAGAGCGAGCAAAAAGGAGAAGGCTAAGATGAAGGAACCCGCACCCCAAAAGGAGAAAAAGAGAAGGTCCTCCAAACGCAAATCCGAGGCAGAGGCACCTTCTCAGCCAAGATCGAAAAAGATCAAGAAGATGGCTAAAAGAGCCAAAGGATCTCCTTCTGAATCAAAACAGAATGCACCATCCGAAACACAAGATGTTGATCCTCAACCCGAAACTACACCCGTTTCGTCTCCACAAAACTCACCTACCCCAACAGACGTTAATCCTCAACCCGAAACTGCACCCGTTTCGTCTCCACAAAACTCACCTACCCCACCTAAATCTCCCCAACTTACCAAATCTCCTTCTCTTCCTACTTCCCCAAAATTTTCAACCCCAACCAATCACCCAAACAGAACATCTCATGTTCTGTTCAACATCAATTTCCCAAACCACAACCGAAACCACTATTCCTTTCACCATTTCTCAACCTTTATCTTCTATCTCCCAACCTATTATCACAAAATCTATCACCATAACCACAACCCAACCACAGTAACGGTCAGCGTATCTGATACGGGGGCTGCTTCTGTGGTTGAAACCCGGTCATCAA